GCATTTTTCAAATCCAATTCCTCCCAATCTCAGCTTCCTGGCTTCAATAACTTTACTATATGTGCAAATGCAAATATGCACATAAACATATAGATGATGTCAGTGCAGGAGTTTCTGAGTTAAACAAAAACGTGCGGTGGGCTTACATAAACAGTTGATGAGTCCATTCCGTAAAATCGCAGCGGATAAGCGATGGTGATCTTTTTGGCGGCATCGAGGCTTGGAGGCAGCTCCTCATCGCCAGCATCCGTCCCGTACTCGAACAGTCTGCTGGAAAACAACGGCGCTGTAATCTGAAACAGCGCACAGCTACAGCAAACATTTCGATTCGATTCTTTTGCGAAATGCAGCAAACCAGCACAAAATTCATGCCCATGGGCATTCGGTGCTTTTTTTGAAAGAGGAAAAATACGAGAATTAATGGTTAATTGTGCTTTCTCTATTGTTTCCAGAATTTGGTCATGATGAGAGCTTGCGGTGAATCGGCAGACGGAAGTGGACAGAGGCACGTACGGCGAATGAGCAAAACAAAATTTATTTCTGACATTACACATTTATTACAGGTAAATGTGCTTCCTCCCACGACCCTCGCGAGCACGAAAAAAGACAACAAAATACAATTAAATTACAAAACACTGATTATTGATTACTGTGATCCAAGCTAAGTAAAATGCATAGTAATTACTGTGTCTTTGTCGAAACCGTCATTCTTGAAACTGTTACAGTATCAGGCGTCATATACGGATATTAGGCAGTAAAAGATAATGGGATATGGATATCGGGTTATCATGGACATAGGGTTATATGTGGATATTGGGTTTTTTTTTTCAACAGTAAAAGGAAGCTCTGCTAATTCAAATTCAAAAGAAAGAAAGCAAGAAACAAACTGAGAAAAGAGGGGCGCCTCGCATTTTTGTAATAGTTGTGAAATTAACTATATTAAATGTGGTCTCAATCCCAATGATGGTTTAGGGCAGCTTTGAGAGTAGCATACCAGTGACATCACTAACATGAGATACTCATCCGACAGTTTTGGTAATATTGGCATATTTTACAATTATGTTTG